CTGGGCCCAGCCTTGAGGTGCTTCAGGGGTCAGTTCTCCCTGAGTGCCCACTTGGCCTGAGCTCAACACTGTGGGTGCAGCTTGTTGTCTGAGGGGTCCTGTTATCCTCATCTGTTTTGGAAAGCGCCCTCCTTTGGGGGGGGGGGTCAGGAAAAGATTGCCCCATGTGTGACCCTTCCGCACATGTAGGTTCAGTTTCTGGATGTGCCAGTGCTTCTGAAGATACTAGAATGTAGTTCTTACCTGCAGTCTTTTTTTTTTTCCTTAAGATTTGTTTAGTTATACATACAAGAACTGGGGTGCAGGCCAGAGGTGCGGGATAGGTGGAGTGAGAGGATTCACTAGAGACAGAGTGGAGAACAGCAAAGGCAGGCTTTGTTTAAAAAGATTTATTTACTTATGCTGAGGTGGAGGCCAGAGTTAGGGGGAGGGGGCAGGGATGAGAGGATTCACCAGAGACAGAGTGGGGAGCAAAACAGGCAGAACAGGCGCATTTCCTGAAACACACTGCTGAGGGGAGCAGCAGGAGAGACCTGCAGTCTTTATGTGGGATGTGCCACAGGGAGCGAGAAGCCACGGCTGAGTGGGGGCTGTGGAGGGCTGGTCTTACCTGTGCAGTGGCGGCGGGGGCAGGGGTGTTAGAAAGGCTCCTGGGGAGTGTGTTGCGTGGGATTAGGAGGGTGATCAGAAGCCCCTATACTGACTTGGGAAGGAGGCAGGCAGGCTGGGGGAGGTGCCAGAAGCGCAGGGGCCATACCTGGGCTCTGGGAGCCTGACAGGTGAGGGTTGGGGAGGCTCAACTGGGCTTTTGAAGGGAAGGATGAGTGAGTGCAAGCTTTCTGGGGGTGGTGAGCTTGCAGGAGACGGGGGTGGGGGGGTGGGGGGGAAGCGGGAAAGTGATATGGGCAGCCTGAGGGAACATGGGCAACTGGACTTTATTCCACTGGCATGAGATTTTCTGGGAGCTCCACCGGTGAGGGTGCTGGGCCCAGGGAGTGTGGTGTGTGGGGAGGACTCAGGGAACCGGCTAGGTATGGAGCCAGCTGGCGGCTTGGGGGTTTGGGTAGGTCCTGGATGGGCCTAGAGACAGGTCACTCCCAACAGGGGCCCCGGCTGCCTGAGGCCAATGTGGCTGCCGGGCAGAGACTGTCCCTCAGGTCAAAGTGGGAGCTGAGAGGAGGCCAAGCTGGGCTGTCCTCTGGCCACCTCACCGTGGATGAGGTGAGAAGGCCACCACCCAGGTGCCTTGGCCCTCAGAGAAGACATGGTGCTGGAGGCGGCAAGTCCACTCTCCATCTTCTCCCCCTCCCGCCCCTCTTTGAGGCATGCAGACAGCGGCTGAATCCCAGCCTCTCTCTGACTGGCTGCCAAGACTTGCTTACATGGCTTGAAGTCCCAGTTCTCACATCTGTGGAATGGGAAACATAACTACATCTTCCTTGCAAGGAATTGTGAGAATCTGACTTAGTACTTGGCCCTGACACGCTGTGCCTGGCCCGGGGTAAATAAGGAACAGCTCACATACTGTTACATCCAGGGTATCCACCCC